AGTAATTACGAATCCAAATATATACAAAAAAAAAATATTAAAAGTAAATTATTACAATTGAAGCTAGTTAAATAATAATGGCTCACGGTATTCGGAAGATTTACTAAAAATAAATTATTACACTTGAAAACTAATCAAATATTAACGGCTCCCTATATTCGGAAAATTTATTAAAAATAAATTATTACCAATGAAAACTAATTAAATATTAACGGCTCCCTATATGCGGAAAATTTATTAAAAATAAATTATTACCATTGAAAACTAATTAAATATTAACGGTTTAAAGTCTCTCTGATGTAGACATCTGGTAGTCCATAGCTTCTACAAGAGAGAAACCTTTTCCACGAGCTGTTATAAAGACTAGGGGCTGAAACAGCTCTGACTATCGAAGGGGGGAATCAAGCGAATACCGCTATCACCCTCTGGTTAACGCGAAAATGGATGAAGGGTTCGAGTGCCCCCGGATTTAAATCCAATTTACTTTATTACCCTAATAGGCACTAAGGAAATTAAAAAAGTTCGTATTACCTTTTACTAGTACGGGAAAATATTTACGGTTCGCTAGCACAGGAGGCTCAGCGGTCCGGGAATTATGAAACTCCCTGTATACGGAAAATTTATTAAAATAAATTGATACAATTGAAAACTATTTAAATATGACGGTTATCAAATGTAAGCAAATAAATGAAATCAAAGTTTTCGGAACGTCCCTGTATCTTAGTTCGGAGGACCGATCGGCGCTCTGGCAATTATGTTAAACGAGAATGATAATTTTCAGCGCGATGTTTGGAACAAGAATGCGATGGTTAACGTAAAAATTATTTTGAGATTTGCCAACAGTCGATCAAGACGGTAAGTGAATTGATTTTGCATAAAAAGTTGGGCTTCGTTCAATAATTAGTTGTGGACGGGGAACGGAATGATTCAAATATAATTGAATGAATAAATAAAAGAAAAGAGAAACTTACATGAAAAATACTGGGTGCTTCTTATAAAAGAAATTGCCAACGGTTTCCCACTAAGGGATATAATGAAAAATGCCGGGCATAAATCAAAATTATTTTACTTGTCAGACGGGTGTCCCAAACTAATTGTAAATAAAAAAAAATAATATGCGGTTTCCTACCTTTAGAAAAATAAACAGGGTTGTTCAATATTCTTTCGAAATTACGGTCACTCACGGAGTATTTCACTCGACACTGCAGGAGAGAGAAGAGTTTACGGCTACCGGAATTCAAGAGAGCGTAATTCCCAGATGTCGTCGAATGTATGCTTTTTCGCTGGGCAAGATGGAAGACAAATAAAAGTGGATAATTGGTACGAAATCGACTGTACAAAATGCCCATTCAAATTTCGGCAAATATAGGAATATTTTAACCTCCGAGGGTACTTGCAATTGTTGAAAAACGGTAATTCCTGGGAAACAGATCTTCTACATGTCCTCAGGCGGGAATTAAGGCTAATTTATAAACTTGCAGTTGCAGTTACCGCTCGCAGTTGCAGTTCCGTTGGAAGGTAAAATGCTACTTTCACATTTCCGCATTTATATTCTATGTTGCTGTCACCGTTTGCTGTTATACACGACGTTCCTTGACGTTCAAACATAACAAAGTTTTAAGTTTTGCAGTTCACCGTTCGTGCCGTTCGCATATTAACCAATAAAAAGCCTGGACTTTTGAAAAACAAGGAAGTATTCCAAAATTATCTAGGTAGATAACTTCATTCATTTTTCTCAATTAAAAAAGGCACTTAATGAAAACTCAAAACGAAAATCGCGCAACAATATGATTGAACGTCAGATTTTTCCTCTTTCCAACTTACTTTGATTTATTTTGGCTTAATCGATTAAATTATCTACCCATCACATAACGGCGCCAAACGTCAGCTTTATAAATTATGAATATCAATGGCAACTGTAACGTCAAACAGAAACAGGTACGCAAACGGTAACGGCGACGGAAACTGCAAGTTTATAAATAGACCTTTAAATGAAATATACATTTTTAAATTAATTGAGAGCCAAATTTAGAAACTTCGTCACAACATCACTACTATTAGTTTTCCTATTATGCCTTTTACAAGTCGCCACTGATAGCCCATCATTTTTAACATTATTTCAGTTCTTCTTTGTTATGTTCAGCAAAATATAGTCACACTACTATAAACACAAATAAATAAATTAATAAATTATTTTACACATGCCATTTGAAAAACATCAAAATGACTTTTTAAGTCCGTCCCGTATTACGTCATTGCGCAGTTTGAACGAAATTTGAATCGAAAGTCAGCATACTGTTAGTCTGTGTACCGTGACAATAAGCAAAATTAAAAGAAATTTAGAAAAACGGGTCATATAAAAAAATCTCTATCAAAGTAGTAGAAGACAAATATTAAAAAAAGTAGGATTATGAGCTGATAACCGTTTAATATTTTTTAGAACGATAAATGGTCGTATATACTGTGTGATATTGAAAATTTAACACCCAGTAAAACATAAGAAATCTAAACAAATATAATGTATTGTACTGAATGTAAGTACTGATAAAAATATTTGGTTCCGATTGGTTGTAGAAATTCTATTTTCTGCGAGATTTTTTGCAAATAGCTAATGTTGCTTTTATTCTTTATGATAATGGGAATTTTTTTAACTTACTTAGTTCAATTTCTATACTCCCTTTAAAAACGTTGATTATTATGCCTCCCTTGGGAAGGCGCGCTATTTTTAATTAATTAAGTAGATTTGAAGACGGTAGGATAAAATGTATATAGAATTTATTAAAATTAACAGATTTTTCAAAAAGACTTAAAAATAAGAAACTTACTGTATAAATTTCGTAGAAAAATGTTGATTACATTAATCCGTTGAAGGAGCCATTCTAAAACGTTCACAATTTGAACGTGAAAGGAATAGAATTGATTTTCCTGGAATTGTCCTCACTTTTCTTGAGTTATCTCACCTGATCTGCAATTATCCCTGAAGTTGTTAAATTTTCCTTGATAATTTTATTTAAAATGTGTTCTTTTATACAAACAATATTTTGATTTTACCATACTAAACAGGTAAACACACATAAAAGAAATCTGGCGAACTAATTACATAAACTCGTAGACGATAAACGTATAAACGTGATTCACATTTATAAGAAAAACTGAAAAAACAGCTAAAAACATGAAAATACTAAATAATTTGTTTAACTTTTCGTACGCAAATCCAGGCCCGGATTTAGATTTTCTATTTTAAATTTATGCATTTTCCCTTCCTTGAGTTTTTTCAAAAATAACCCCGCACAAATCTTATGGAAATTAGCTGCCGGTCAAATTGGCTAAAATTTGGATATGTTGTTCGTTTCGACATCCCGAGCAAAAGTCTCAATAGGTACAAAGCTAGATTTTAATTATTTTGGCTCTTACGGATTGACCATTATTAACTACTTAAAAAGGCAATCTCCTCGAAAGTTTAGTATTTGCTGCATTAAAAAAGAAGTACCTTCTTATGTTTTCGGGGTAGCTGCATTTAAATTCAATTCCAATATAATAATATTGACAGTTGACAGCCGCCAACTAGCTGTCAAACAAGAAGCAATAATTAAAAGGTAAAAATTGACATGTAAATATGTTTTTGAGATAGCTGAGTTCAAAACTAATGTTAACAACTCGATATTGACAGTTGACAGCCGTCAACTAACTGTCAAACAGTATGTGACAATCAAAATTGACAATATTCAGGAGTAAATAGATATCCTCGAGGTTGCTGAGTTTAAAATTGATGTCAATAAGACAATATTGACAGTGATTAGCTGTTAAATAACTGTCAAACAGCATGTGACAATCAAAATTAATAAAATCCACATGTTAACGTATATTTTTGAGATCGCTAAATTCAAAACTGAAGGTAAGGAAAACGATATTTTAAAAACAAGTAAAGCTTGCTTGCTGCCACCTCATTGTTCCTCTATCTTGACACATGATCATGCACAGTCAAATATTTAATTAACGATAATATTCAACTGTCAATATCGTCTTTTTAGCATCAGATTACAATTAGGCAACCTTAAAGACATATGCTTACATTTCAATTTTATCAATTTCGATTGTTACATACTGTTTGAAAGTTAGTTGACAGCTGTCAACTGTCAATATCTAGTTGTTAACATCAGTTTTGAACTTACCAACCTAAAAAACAGATATTTATATGTATATTTTATCAATTTTGATTAATGCTTTTGGCTTGACAGTTATTTGACATCTGTAAAATGTGAATATCGATTTTTTACCATCAGTTCTGAAATCAGCAACCTCGACGACATATATTTTACATATGTATTTTATCAATTTTATTTGTCACATGCTGTTTGTCAGTTAGTTGACAGCTGTTAACTGTCAATATCATCTTTTTGACATCAATTTTGAACCCATCAACCTCGAGGACATCTATTTACTCCTAAATTTTGTCAATTTTGATTGGCACATACTGTTTGACAGTTAGTTGACGGCTGTCAACTGTCAATATCGAAATGCTGACATCAATTTTGAACTTACCAACATCAAAAATAGATATTTACATGTGTATTTTATCAATTTTAATTATTGCTTGTTGTTTGATAGCTACTTATTAGCTGTCAACTGTCAATATTATTATATTGGCATTGGATTTGAATGCAGCGACCCCGAAAACATAAGAAGGTACTTCTTTTTTAACGCAGTAAATACTAAACTTTCGAGGAGATTGCCTTTTTAAGTAGTAAATAATGGTCAATCCATGGAGCTTTGGAACTCCGTAGGGGCCAAAATAATCAAAATTGAGCTTTGTGTACTTTTGCTCAGGATGCCGATACAAACAACATATCCAAATTTCAGCCAATTTGACCAGGAGCCGATTTCCATAAGTTTTGTGCGGGGTTCTTTATTTAAAAAATGTTTATTTTAACGACTTTCATACAAAGAATCAGTTAGGATTCACCATATATATGAAGCTGAGGTCATTATTATTTTTTTAGAAACTCTTCGAAAATATCCAGTACTACCGTTTCTAGACAGAAGATGTAACGCAGATTATAAGGTTCCAGGTACGGATCTTATCATAGAAAAAGGTACTGCAGTTTTCATTCCAATGTACGGGTTACAGATGGATGAGAAATATTTCCCAGAGCCATTCAAATACAAACCCGAAAGATTTTTGAATAAAATTGAGTCTACCAATGGAGTGACTTATCTGCCATTTGGAGTAGGACCACGTATTTGTATAGGTAATTAGTAAAAACTAATAAATGATTATCGGTATACATACAATTAATATAGTTAATTATGTAGATGGTTCAAAATAATATATTTTGTCGTCAATCGTTGACAGAGCCGTACATTACCAAAACGATTTTTAAAAGATAACAAACACCTTATCTTACTGTAATAATTGAACACTTTACCTTATCAACATGTGTAGTAAACAGTAATCGTTTGTTACTGGGCTGCAACAGTAAAGTTTTGTCTTGAATTATTTATTATTAATATTGGAAAATATTACTTCTTCGATTTCAGGAATTTATTTTTATAATTCGTCATAATATACTTTCGTGTTTAACCTAACAAATAATAAGTAAATTTATTTGGATATAGAAAATATCAGGAGAATGTACGATGATTATGTTATCAAGTAGGTGGTGAGGTTTTTAGTAGGGGACCATCGGTCAAAACAGGTTAGTCGGATAAAACAGGATACTCCACAAAGCACATAGAGGTTCCACGTGAATGACCAAGGTCAAAACCGACAACTGACATTTTTTATGCTATTTGCTCCAAACTCTAGATGGGGCTACTGGTGAAATTATGATTTCTTACTCCATTTTTAGGCCTTATGGGAGAAAAACTAACCAAAGACTCCAAAGATGTGACGTGTATTTATTTATGTTCTTGGTTAGTTTCATTTTTCCGTCTGATTTTAGTAATTTTTTGTTGGCTTTGGCTTTTGGTTTCTGTTTATAGTTTCGTCTTAGTTATTTGCAAAATTGTGATGTTTCGGTTTTTTATTTCCTACTGTGTTTTGCAATAATTTTGGTGCTACGTTGAAAACTTCGAGAAAAACTTCATTGATTCACCATATATTCACCATGCATCTGCATCATAAAAATACAAACGGGGACAACAACTAATTGATAATTAATTTATCACTGGACTAGATTCCGAAATCTGTATCACCATCTGTATTTGGAAGGAATTGAATGAATAGTTAAAAGGATTCACCTTTTAATACAATACCTATATTACATTTGTCCTCAGTTAAAAAGACATTTATAAAATATATAACTTTAGTGTTAATAAAATGTAATATCCTAGTCTCTACTTCACATTTAAATTATTGATAGGTATTTTAAAGATTTGAGATTATATATCTATTTGCTCCAAGTAAGTATTCGTTAAATATGTATTATTATTTGTATTTATTTTTATCTAATAATATTTATTTAAGTTATTAATAAACATATTTTAAGAATGTTCTATTTTATTATTTATTGATATATCTTATATTTATTTAATAAAAATATGCAGAACCAACTCTCCACATTAGACCCCTTATAACAAATTAATTCTTCAAATTTGGTATAATCGACCTAAATTATTTTGTAAAATAAAAGTTTCGAACTTACTAGTTCCATACTTTATTTTATAAAATAATTTATGTGGAAATCATTTAAAATTTAATTTAGAACTACTACCTACTCCTAAAAATTACAATTTGAATTTACCGCCATCTGTCAATTGTCATTTTAGTTCCAGCTCCAAACACAAGGTGACGCTAATTTGGTTTAAACGTTTAACATTGGCGTGGGGTCTCTAGAAGATACATGCTTTGTGGGATACTCCTTTCTATTTCTATACCGTTGGCGCCATCTATCCCGCAATATTAAATTCTAATTTCACCAGCAAAAGTCTACATTTGTCGCCTGCGGCTACCACGTGTTCATAAAAGTGCGGTCATACTAATTTGTTTGCATCATTTTTAAGTGATTTTCTTTTCAATCAGGTACGAAGGTTGATAAACGGTGAGTTGTTTATATATTTTTGTATTATTGTGTTTAATGTTCGATGTAATTTTTCAACATATTTGTTTGACTAAGTTATTAAAATTTTATTGGTTACACCAAAAATACTAGTTGCGCAAAACGGGATAGTTTTTTGTGGTCAAAATGGGACACTATCCCGTTTTGTCCAACTAGATTTGTCTACTTGATTGTAAAGTAAAATTAATATTTGTTACAGATTTTTCAAAATGGGCAACTATAAAAGAAAAGGTAACATAGAGTCTTTATAGAAGAGAGTATGAGAGAGGCAGTAAACAAAGCCCTTGAAAGAAGTATGGAATTCTTAAAAGTCTCCAAAGAATATGAAGTTCCTCGCACAACTTTAGAAGCCAGAGTCAAAAAAGTGAGAAGTGGTGAACTTTCTTTAGAAAATTCGCATGGAATAAGACTAGGGAAATTTAAAACAGTTTTTGCACCAGCACAGGAAGATAAATTAGTGAAACATATTTTGGCCATGGAAGAGACTTTTTGGCTTTATACTAGATGACCTTCGAAGTTTGGCATTAAGCTTGCTCATCGCAGTGGATTGTCTAATAAGTTTAATATTCAGAAAAAGAAAGATGATAAGGCTTGGCTTCATGGTTTCTTAAAATGGCATCAAAATCTGTAACTACGAACTCCAGAACCTACGTCACTTGCTAGAGCTATGGGCTTCAACAGACCTTCTGTTAATATATTTATCTGAAGTCTTAGAAAAATATTAAATAAGTTCTGATCGAACTTACAATGTTATCTTGTCTTAACGCGGCATTTTAGTTACCGTAGAAATATACATGAGTAGCGCAGGAGTATTCATACCACCAAAGTTTGTTTTTCCTAGGGCCAGAACTCTTATATGATGCTCAGCTTACTACCATTTATCCGGGTAGATGCAATCTAATACATTTACGTCCTGGCTTGTAAAGTGTATTTAGTTTTCAAATCCCACTAAGGAGCATCCTGTGCTTTTAAAATTAGTTGGACATTCAACTCATACAAAAAGTTCAGCAACAATTGAAATAGCTAAAAACAATAATGTTGCAAATGTTGTGTTTTGCTCCATATACAACACACCGCCTACAGCCTTTGCATGTCAACTTTATGACACCGCTAAGTATGTATTATACTGCAGAAGTTCAAAAATTGTTACGGCAGCATCCATCCAGGTCGATGTGTTACAATCGGTAAACTTTTTGGTGCTACGTACATGAGAGCTGTTTGTGTCGGAACAGCCATTAATGATTTTGCAAAAACAGGCATTAATCCATTAAATAGTGACGGATTTCCAGACTGGATGTTTGAACCAGCTAAGACTACCAACACACCCTATGTTGAAAATTAAAACAACGAAAATGCCTCAATAAGTCATTCATGTAACACCTCCAAGACATGTAACACCTCCGAGACATGTAACACCTCCGAGAACTGTAATATCAAGACAACAAATTTAGCATCATTCTCATGTAACGCCTGTAAGATCTAAAACTTCATTACAGGCGGTAAAAAATATTTCTGCGTCCATTTCTACTGAACAGTTTTATAAAAATGCAACTTCTTCTTGTTCATGACAATAAATATATTCTGTTACCACCAAGCTATTATTCCAGATCCTAATGTCGAAAATGTGCAATCCTTTTGACAAAAAGGGGGAAAACAGCGATAGTTACTCTTGAGACTCTTGAGAAAGCCAAAACTAAAAAATGCCAAAAATGAATATAAACGTCGATAAGGAGAAAAAATTTGATGTGTCCAACACATGACTTTCCTATTTAGTTATTATAGGCTTTTTCCGGTTATTTTCTACAACCTATTGCAGCACCTCTAAAAATATTTTTCTATAGATATTCATTGAAAACGAAAATACTGAAAAATTTAAATTTAGCATTCTTCCTTCAATTTTTCCATTACGGTCCATTTTAGAAAAATCATATATAAACAAAAATTATAGAGATCGATATCGCAAACAACTTTTAGTTCAACAATTTTCACAAAAATTAAAATTTGTTACATTTTGTCAAATTTCTCGAATACGGACCATTTCAGGAAATTTTGACATAAAACAAAAATTATAGATAATAATAGTAGAAGTAACTTTTATTTAAGCAATTTTCTTCTCCAAACATAAATAAGAGACATATTCCATAAAATATAAAAACGGCCTACCATAAAGTACCCCCCCAGATTTTCCGACATTGTCCAAAATTTAATCATTTCACGTCAGGCCGAAATAAAACTTAAGTTTAAAATTTAATGTTTTTTTCTTCATCCGTTTTTGAGTTTTCCTCAAAATTCGAAATTTACGCATTTTCTCAAATATCTCGAATACGATCCATTTTAGAGAAATTATGTGTAGGATAAAAATTATAGAGAATTATATTAAAAACAACTTTTATTTAAACAATTTTTATAAAAAAAATATATAAAAATGACCACTCATAAAGTACCCCCCAGATGTTCCGAATCTGCCCAAACACACACACACACACACACACACACACACACACACACACACACACACACACACACACACACACACACACACACACACACACACACACACACACACACACACACACACACACACACACACACACACACACACACACACACACACACACACACACACACACACACACACACACACACACACACACACACACACACACACACACACACACACACACACACACACACACACACACACACACACACACACACACACACACACACACACACACACACACACACACACACACACACACACACACACACACACACACACACACACACACACACACACACACACACACACACACACACACACACACACACACACACACACACACACACACACACACACACACACACACACACACACACACACACACACACACACACACACACACACACACACACACACACACACACACACACACACACACACACACACACACACACACACACACACACACACACACACACACACACACACACACACACACACACACACACACACACACACACACACACACACACACACACACACACACACACACACACACACACACACACACACACACACACACACACACACACACACACACACACACACACACACACACACACACACACACACACACACACACACACACACACACACACACACACACACACACACACACACACACACACACACACACACACACACACACACACACACACACACACACACACACACACACACACACACACACACACACACACACACACACACACACACACACACACACACACACACACACACACACACACACACACACACACACACACACACACACACACACACACACACACACACACACACACACACACACACACACACACACACACACACACACACACACACACACACACACACACACACACACACACACACACACACACACACACACACACACACACACACACACACACACACACACACACACACACACACACACACACACACACACACACACACACACACACACACACACACACACACACACACACACACACACACACACACACACACACACACACACACACACACACACACACACATCATCGCGAAAATAGTCAAAACTGATTCAGGGGACCTCAAAACAAATCCGTCGAAACCTCGAGGTCGAAAAAAATCATGAATCCTATACTTTCCTTATATCTGTATACAGATAGGAAAGTAAAAAGGCAAAAGAATAAACAAACGAAAGGTCAAGTTGAAAGTAAAAAAAATTAAGAATTCATTTCAAGAGAGTAGTTCTGAAGAAGAATGCGAAGACGTAACCTGCATATATTGTCAAGAACCGTATTTAAATTCAAAATTAGAGGAAGGAAGAATAAAATGCCAGTATTGTAACGGTTAGAGCCACGAAGCTTGTGCAAATAGTACAGACATCGAGAGTGATCAGTATGAGGAATTCGTCTGCGAGGTTTATGTACCAGTAGTTTTTAATATTTTTTTAATTTATATTTTATAAAATAAATTTCTTGCCAGTTTTGAATAAAAATTTTGATTTTCCATTATGTTCTTTTTATTTTTTGTTAATTTTCAGTTTCTTTTTAATATTACTATCTTGTTTTGTCCAACCAGGTCGATAAACCAGGATACTTTTAAAAGAAGCTGCTCCTTTTTAATTTTAATTATTTACGAAAACCGGAGTACATTAAATTAATGGTATGATGTTGATGTTGTCGTATACAAATACTCGTTAATGCTACACAATTATTAAAAAAGATAAAATAAATATTTTGTTAAGTATCGCGTTATAGCTAACTCTCCCCTACCTATGTTCTCAAGACCATTTGGAGATTTTTTTAGCTGTAATGAAAACAAAAGTAGTACTTTATATAATCCAACAGCTTGGCAGTTATAATTACAAGAATCTGTTAATTTAAAAAGAAATTAACATGAAAATATTACTGCTCCATATTCCTTTACGATACTCACTTGTTAAAATGCAACCAAAATCAAAATAGAAGAAAATGTTTTATAGCCAAGTAATTATTTAAATTCAGAACACAAAATAATCCAATTTGACTATTTAACCTCACCTGCTTATCCAACACCATATTATTACTTGCGATCTGCCACAACTGAAACTGTGTAAAGGTTTAAGGGGGGTTACGTTTTAAACCTTTTCTTTTGTATTTTTTGTATTTGATTTTCTAAATGAAGGACCTTTCAAAAATATTGTGTGAAAATTTAAGATGAATCGGAGCAAAACTAACGAAGGTATAGTGGTTTAAGTAACCGCACCTCATATATGAGCGCATCAAAAAATACCTGCCCGCACCAAGCGCTTTGTTATTACCTAGCAGCTGTTTTGGACTCGTGGTGCAAATGGCAAAAAGCTGCAGTTGTTAATGCATTGGATTTGTTCGCAAATGGCAAAAAGCTGCAGTTGTTAATGCATTGGATTTGTTCGAACACACATTTTGGATGCCATCAAGCTTATCTATAAAGATCTGAGCAAAGATACCCTCCTGGAGCGATGGGTCAGAGGCTTGATGCAGAACAACAACGAGAGTTATATGCAAAATCTTACCAAAGAACTTGAGTAGAATCTTTGTCATCGTTGACATTGCAGCTTATGTGGCAGCCTGTATTTCAATGAAGGTTATTTCGTTTTTCTAAACTACATGCACGACATGGGAATCAGTAGTGGACAAGGCGTTCATGAATGGGCGCGATCAACTGACTTCATGCGTATAAGCCAAGTTGAGCAATATTTTGTAATATTTCTTCATGAAAATTTTACACAATATTCTTCGAATATTATACTTAAATGTACAATTGGTTTTTATAAATATAAATAAACAATGTCGTAAAAACAAATTCACAAAAATATGCCTTTCTTGTCGACCTTAATTATCCAACAAAAAGTTTAGCCATCGAATATTCACTAACCTTATTATTTTAGTTAGTTTTGACACATTTAAAAATAATTTTTTTTTAGTATAATCTTTGTTTAGACGTTGAAAAGACAATTTTAAATAAATATATTCAGTAATAAATTCTATTTATTTTATTTTATTTTATTTTATTTTAGGTGAACGGTTTGGTAGACTGAGCACCAAACTGGCTCTGATTTATGTACTAAAAAAATTTGAAATTGAAGCATGCGACAGTTCACCGGATCCAGTGAAATTTGAGCCAAAATGTTTTCTGTTTGCATCTACAGTTGGATTACCTCTAAAATTTAAGTTACTACAATCATGATATCCTTAACTTTAAGATGTGGAAGTGTTAAATGATGCTGTAAATAATGACATTTCAACTATCTTTAACCTGTAATTGTATATAATCTCCTTGTAGCTAAAACCATTTTAATTTTCTCTAAATTAGATTATATTACTTTGAAACCACTAACATATTCTGTAATTTGACCGATCCTGATTGGGTTTGTATGTGTACATTTTTTAAATAACTTGTTTCTTTTAAATATATTTTTTTAACAGAAGACATCAATATTACCTATAACTGTAATTTGAATAATCTAACTATGGGTTAACCGTTAGTTATAAAATGGTAAGTTTTAATTCATATTATTAGAAATTATTGGGAACTTTTTTAAATATTGCAGACGATTTAAGTAATAGCTACAAAATAAACAAAATATTCTATAATGTTTTTACCAAATGTTACTTTTTACTTCCCTCTATAAAAGGGAAGTATTGTAACCGTCACCTTCCAAAATAATTTTAGATTTTCACGTTTCAGGGTTCCTATAATACGAAATAGTATATTACATTACGAGTGTGGAAAGTGACATTTTTCACACGAGTGGGAAATATTGTCGCACGAGGCGTAAGCCGAGTGCGACTATCACACGAGTGTGGAAAATCACTTTTCACACAAGTGATGTACAATATTTTTCCTACGACCACAAAATAATTTCATCAAAAAATGTAAAACCAGATTATTATAATAATTAAAATGTATTTAAAAAAATAATCAACAATAATCGTATTTATTAAATTTTCATAATTTCTAAACAAATAAAAAAAAATAAAAAAAAAATTCTGGCACAGCCAGGATTCGATCGCGGTCGTTGGACGGTCTCAAATTGCAAAGTTGATGCTCTAACCAACTGAGCTAACAGGCCTTACGGTAATTGATTGATCTAATCGCTTATGTGTATAACCAGAATAAAAAGCAAATATATCTTAGTTATTTTAAAATTATTTTAAAAATAATTGTTAAAGATAAATATCTAGGATCTAATTTACAATAATTTAACAATCATATCGATTTTAGTATTAATATGGACATTACATAGATCAAAATAGAAATTATGTGTTTGACATTTTCTGACAGCTACTGCGGAAAGTAGCATATTCTCACTTGGGTGGAAAGTAAATTCTTATTCATACGCGTGTGATATAGGGCACTTTCCATAGGTCTATATAGTGTGATATGTGTCACTTTCCTAAGTGGTCGTAGGAAAAATATGTTTTCGATTAGATCAATAAATTACCGTAAGGCCTATTAGCTTAGTTGGTTAGAGCGTGAACTTTGCAATTTGAGACCGTCTAGCGACCGCGTTCAAATCCTGGCTGTGCCAGATTTTTTTTTGTTTTTTCATTTTTTTTTATTTGTTTAAAAATTATGAAAATTGAATAAATACGATTATTGTTGATTATTTTTTAAATACATTTTAATTATTATAATAATCTGCTTTTACATTTTTTGATGAAATTATTTTGTGGTCGTAGGAAAAATATTAACTTGTGTTAAAAGTGATTTTCCACACTCGTGTGATAGTCGAACTCGGCTTGCGCCTCGTGTGACAATATTTACCACTCGTGTGAAAAATGTCACTTTCCACACTCGTAATTTAATATACTATTTCACATTCTGTCGGTCCGTCTGTGGTCTGACATCTGAGGCCGTTTTTATATTTTATGGAATATGTCTCTTATTTATGTTTGGAGAAGAAAATTGTTCAAATAAAAGTTACTTCTAATGTTATTATCTTATTATCTATAATTTTTGCTTTAGGTCAAAATTTCCTGAAATGGTCCGTATTCTAGAAATTTGATAAAATGTGCAAAATTCTGATTTTTATGAAAATTGTTGAACTAAAAGTGGTTTGCAATATCGATCTCTATAATTTTTGTTTATATATGATTTTTCTAAAATGGACCGTAATAGAAAAATTGGAAGAAGAGTGCTAAATTTAAATTTTTCAGTATTTTCGTTTTCAATGAATATCTATAGTAAAGGAGCAGCAACAGTTCGGCCTCATTCCCCATGTTAAATCCCATAAGAAATCGCTAAGGTTCATTCTGGCAATTTTTGTCGCTTTCAAGGTCACGCGTCGAAGTTCGAAGTCTGGGTTATCAGTAAACATGATAACGTCGAAAATCCAAGATGGCGGTAATAGTTGACGTAAACAACGAAAAATAAGCAAAAAATTCAACCTACCCTCCTTCACCCCCACGACCCCCTCATACTTATAAAATATGGTCGGTACATGTGATACGTCGTTGAAAAGGTCTTAACGTACAGAGTAAGGGAATAATAATGAAAAAATTTCTCTTTTAACGTAGAAGAGAAAAATCATGTGTAAAGCCAGAAGGGCCTTAGCGTATATCTCAGCTATCGTTGGTCCGATTTAAACGGGAAAAACGGCACTATGAAGAAGATGTGACGGGAAGAAAGGTAACCTACCCGCCGATGAGGATTTCACCAATGAGCGGCGAACATAACCCCCAGTTTAAACGGTCGTTAGACAGCTGCCCGTGGCCCCGGGGCCCGCCACGAGGCGCGCGCCACGCGGAGTCGCGCCGATGAACATAACCCCACTTTTAACGGTCGATCCGTCAATTGCGAGTCGCGCCGATGAGGATTTCCGCCGCCGAGGTGAACATAACCCCCACTTTGAACGATCGGCTGCCCGGGGGCCCGCCACGCGCCGATGAACATAACCGCACTTTCAATTGCCCCGATGAGGATTTCCGCCGCCGAGGTGAACATAACCCCTGCTTTGAACGATCGGCTGCCCGGGGGCCCGCACGGCATTATGAAAAGAACGATTAACGTAGAAGAGAAAAATATTGTGCAATGTCAAAAGGGCCTTAGCACGTATCTTCACTGCTATTGGTCCAATTCAAACGGGAAAAACGGCATTACGTAGAGATCGTGGTATAGATTAACGTCGAATAGGATTTTTGCGTAAAGCCAGAAGGGCCTTGGCGTATATCTCAGCTATCGTTGGTCCGATTTAAACGGGGAAAACAGGGTTATGCAGAGATCGTGGTATAGATTAACGTACAAGAGAATTTTAGCGTAAAGCCAGAAGGGCCTTAGCAAATATCTCAGCTATCGTTGGTCTGATTTAAACGGGAAAAAAACGACATTACGTAGAGAATGATGAACGTCGAATATAAAAATCATGCGCAATGCCATAAGGGCCTTAGCGTGTATCACGTGGTCCGATTCTTAAGTCCATAGATCAAACAGAAAAAGATGGTTTCGTTACGTTTCGTTTCGTTACGTTTCGTTACGTTTCGTTACGTTTCGTTACGTTTCGTTACGTTTCGTTACGTTTCGTTACGTTTCGTTACGTTTCGTTACGTTTCGTTACGTTTCGTTACGTTTCGTTACGTTTCGTTACGTTTCGTTACGTTTCGTTACGTTTCGTTACGTTTCGTCACGTTTCGTCACGTTTCGTCACGTTTCGTCACGTTTCGTCACGTTTCGTCACGTTTCGATACATTTCGTTACGTTTCGTTTCGTGGACAAAAGGACCTAAGTCTCGGTGGCATGTCACCAGGTGCAAAATGGTCAAAAGGATCTTAGGTGGACAAACGGATAGACAGACAAAAATACAGATAAAAGGACAGGCAGACGGAAAGAGGAGACAAATATACGGTAAAGGATAAAATCATAAAAATTCGTATCTATCTATCGCTAAGTAAGTAAACAATGTCAAATGTCAAAATGCTAGGAAGGGGGAAACCAAAAAAGGTATAAACTTTGGAGGAAAAAATACTAAGAAATCATACAGAGAGCAGTGAAGACCTAAGATGATGTAGAAGCCAGTACAGGCCTAAGACGAAGAACAAAAAACTACTGAAGAAGAAGAAGAAGAAAAGGAAGAGTGAAACGTTAAAAGGGTGATATTTGTAGAAATTCATAGAAAAAAGAATGGAAAATCGTAGAAATCTTTAAAGAGCCATAGAATACACGGTGCTGCATTACCAAAGGGGCCATAGTTGGTTAGTACAGAAAATGTAATAACCAAGGAGACATTACTTTTCTGGATCTCTGAATACGGGAAGGTAGCAGTCAAAAGTTCAGTATTTGAGAATAAGTCTAAGAAGTCGTATTGTTCGTATTGTAGTCATACATCATCGTCGTTTCCTTATTACTTACAAGTACAATAAAAATACTATACGTTTATTGTCGATGGTAAAAAGGTAACAAAATACTCTTCGTCCATTATCGTATGTAAACCTGCGCAGTACGTTATTGTCGTGTCATCGTCTTAATCTTAATTAAAAATAAATACAACAATTACAATATACCATCTTCGTTTGTACTCGATTATTTTCGCATTTAAGATTTTCAACCTGGAAAATCATCTGTAAAACATTTATTATTACCTTCTCTTTTTTTCAAGCTATCAACCTAAAAAATCGCAGCTATCCAACCATTGTCATCTCTACAGGTTTTTGTATGTCTATTCAATATTCTTTTTAACCTAAAAATATGGCATCTGTCATCTGTCACTATTAAAAAACGTTTGTACTCACTTTTTTCGTATATTATTATTTAGTTTCAGTATTTTTGCATCATCTTCTGTCTCGTATGACTCGTTAAATCCAATAAAAAGGCGTCATTCATTTTTAGAAAGTAATTATCGATTGCTTTTATATTTAGCATTTTTATCCTAAAAATATGACATCTGTCATCTGTCACTATTAAAAAACGTTTGTACTCACTTTTTTCGTATATTATTATTTAGTTTCAGTATTTTTGCATCATCTTCTGTCTCGTATGACTCGTTAAATCCAATAAAAAGGCCTCATTCATTTTTAGAAAGTAATTATCGATTGCTTTTATATTTAGCATTTCTATCCTAAAAATATGACATCTGTCATCTGTCACTATTAAAAAACGTTTGTACTCACTTTTTCCGTATATTATTATTTAGTTTCAGTATTTTTGCATCATCTTCTGTCTCGTATGATTCGTTAAATCCAATAAAAAGGCCTCATTCATTTTTAGAAAGTAATTATCGATTGCTTTTATATTTAGCATTTCTATCCTAAAAATATGACATCTGTCATCTGTCACTATTAAAAAACGTTTGTACTCACTTTTTCCGTATATTATTATTTAGTTTCAGTATTTTTGCATCATCTTCTGTCTCGTATGACTCGTTAAATCCAATAAAAAGGCCTCATTCATTTTTAGAAAGTAATTATCGATTGCTTTTATATTTAGCATTTCTATCCTAAAAATATGACATCTGTCATCTGTCACTATTAAAAAACGTTTGTACTCACTTTTTCCGTATATTATTATTTAGTTTCAGTATTTTTGCATCATCTGTCATAAAAAATCCAATATAAAAAGTCCCATTCTTAGACATTTAAATACACTTTTTCATTAATTACTGACATTTCAGTATGGTATCTTCGCTTATATTGTATCTTTCATTATCCTAAAAATATGACATCAGTTGTTTTTTCAACCCAAAAAGATAATAGCTATCGTTAAAGACATCTGTAAACCTTTGTACTCACTTTTCCCCTAATTATTGACATTCATTTGTTACGATATTCTTACTTATTTAGTTGCTGTATATTTCTACAAAAATAAGACATCAGTCAGTAAATTCGGTTAGTATTAGCACCACT